CAGACCAAGTTCAAAGGGAAGGGAACCGCCACAGGATAAGCATTGGAAATATGTCTGGGGTGTCCAAAAGGATAATTATAATGATCTGAAGCCGGTGGATAGTGTTAGCCAGCCCTAGCAGCCGGGTAAGGTAAAGAATAGATCCCCATACCCTTTGAATCGGCAAGTGCCATAAGGTAGCTCTACATATTGGAGAAATGGGTAAATCGAGAAGAAAAAGACATCTACATTATCGCCAAGTGCAAGGTCTAGGGCAAGGGATCCACCACAGGGCGAGCGGCGGTAGCCACTCGCCCAAGGTGTCCATTCATTAGAATAACTGTAATATTCTGAAGACAACAGTTAAACTGTTAACCAACTTTGACGGCTAGGGAAAGCAAGGAACAAAGCCCTAAACCCTATGAATCAGTATCCATATGAGCACACGCACATATATATGTATGTATACTTATACATGTATACACACACGTGGGTATGTGTATATATAAATGAAAACAATGTAGGTACAAATGTATATATACTTGTACATACACATGCATATGTATATATATACTTATACATACACATGCATATGTATATATACATATACATACGTTCATATATCTATATATATATTATATACATATAGATATCTATGCACACAATATGTATCTATAAATGCATATCTATGTAAACAATATATATATGTGTGTACATATATATGTATAAATACATTATCCAAGAGTTCATTTTCATAAAGAACAAAACTGGGAACACCTAACAACCATCCGTTGCCATGGAAACCCAAGTGACATATGGCAACTCTTCAGTATTTCTGCGCTTGCGCGTGACAGTCAGGTCAGTGTGCACGAGTCACCTGCATTCCTCCTCACTCACGACTCACGAACAAAAAACACAGCAACAAGAGCAGCGGTCTCGAATATTGGGAAAAAACTGCTGACAGAAGACCTGCAGCCGCACCGCTGTCATTGCATATCTCCTTAGCCTCTGCTACATGGACAATGTTTAGAAAAAAGTACATACGTGAGTAATTTGAACTTTAATCATAGAAAGCAAACAACCGGCAAAAGAAGACGCGAGTGAATGAAATAATATAGAAAATTACTCATGTTTTTCATACTAATGAAAATAACTATTTACTTTGATAAATAAACTATAAAAGTTACTCTCTCTGTGTCTAAGAACCCTTAACACAAACTTAATTTTGAACAGTTAGCATGAGAATCTTAACTAACAATGGAAAAACCGAACATAGATATATAAATAAACTAACAATTATACAAGTTAATAATTAAAGTAAAACTAAATTAAATATGAATATATTTATATATTTACATGAATATAAGAAATGACAGATCGTGCCAATAATGAAACCGGAAATACAATTAAGTATATAAAAGGAAATATATGTGTTAAATCTTGGAAAATCTTCATAGATGTATTAAACTTGAACATAAATCTTGATGATAAAGAACAGACTATGAAAAGAATTTGCCATACATATATATGAGAATGTCTTACATCGCGATCTTACGACTAATGAGAATGAATATCGAGTTTTTTGTGGGGATTATTTAGTTATTTCCTTATTCAATGTACTTACAATTTATTGTTGCTGTATCTTTCCTTATAGAATCATTAAGAACGCCACGACGAGACTGATGATTGTTAGCATTAACTTATTTAATGATTTTTTTCTAAAGTTTGTAAACGCAAAATATTACGTTTCTAACATTACTATCTATATTAGTATTGTTCTTCTTATTATAATTATCATCATTATATATTTTTTCTTAACCATCACCCCTGTCGTCATTATGTTACTTTATTAGTTATTGTAAACAAATATTATTATTAGCACTGACTATATAGATATTCTTATAACTGCCAATGCAAATAGTGAGGAAAATACAGTAAGCCATGTGTGTGTGTGGTGTCCGTGCACTTTGGTAGCGTGTTATGGTCGGAGAGACGTGTGCGAGTCTCGTTCGCAAAGCAGGCTCAACGAAAACCTCCGTGGAAAGAAATATCTGAATAGAGTCACGATAAACTTTTTCCGCAAAATAAACAAAGTTCGTGTGTGGGCAACGCTGTGCGTACTGTGCGACCTTGAGATTGCCTGCGGCGGTGTAACGTCTTCTATTCATCCATTCATTTTCGTCACCCCTACGGTCTAATTTACAAGTCTCTTTTCCCTTTTAGTTTAACATTGTCTCACATTTCCCGATCGTTCAACTATTTTCATTCGTATTGTACGTTTCTTATTCACAAGACCTTATTACCTTTATACACGTTTGTAAGCAATACTATCATTGGTGATTTAAACAAAACCAGTATCTCATAACACAATTACACTTTTATTGACGTAAAAACGCTTGAAATAAAAGAAACAGAATGAACTGACTTTCTGAGGATCATAAAATACACATAAAAAGATGAGAAAAATTAGAAAATCGTAATTAAACATCACGTTTTACAAGCTGAAAACAGGAGGTTCCACTTTAAAAAATGCCGCACTCGGGACACAGTATACTGGAATTATATTCTAATAGTCAATTCCCCTTGACCGCAGACACAACACTGCTTCGACCCCACAATAAATGCAACTTAATTTCTAAGGGCTGAAGTGAGAGTGATAGAGTCGACGAACACTTAGCAAAGTCCAGGTAGGACAGCGTTAATTCAATGACCTTCTTCGTCTCTCTCTCTCTGACCCGTATATACATACAGAAATATAGCGGTAATACAAATTCAGGTTATCAAAATTGTTTTCTTAACGAATGTGATGGCTTTCCATGAACAGCATGCCTTGCTCATATGAGCCAAGAATGTTAAACAATGAATTCAAGTACATTTCCCCCACTAATGTGACTTGAGAGAAGGTATTTGGTGATTAATGATCGATGGTGTAGACAGCCAAAAGACAAGCACAGCTGACGGGAAGCTTGAATGTCTCGATGGCGAAGGGGAAGTACTGATCATAGGGGTCGTACACAAGGAAGCGGTGGTAGATGGATTTCTGCAGACATTTGGACTCGTAGCACTCAGGCACCAGAGGACATGCATCGGCGGAAGTAAAACACTCTTCGATGCGTGTAGTCTGAGTGAAAGTCTGATAATGGGCATCGATATTGTTTACGACACGCCATTTCCCCCTTCTATTTATAGAAGTATACTATCTATCACTCTACAGATCGATAAATGTATGTATTTACATATGTACAAATTATATGTGTATATATATATATATTCATATGCACATATATACAAATTATATATACCGAAACACACATATAAACAACACATACACATATATACACATATCTATGCACATACATACTGACACATGCACAAAAACACATATCTATATATAGTTTGATCAAGCACGCATGGACAGGTCTCATTTTAAGCGGCGGAAGGTGTGTATACTCTGAAATCCGATAATTTACGTGAGAGAAATGACCTGGAAACCTTGGCAGACTACGAGCGTGAATGACAAAGCGATCAGTTTTGGGTCTGGCTGCCTGCGAAGCTCATGGTCGCTTGTGCTTACCACATGCATCCAATCCCTTCCATCAGTACCATTCTGAAACTTGTCTCTTTAGTGACCAAGAAATTAGGGATAAACACAGATCGCGATAATTTGTAGGAGCTACTGCGTGCCATAAAGTGGGTCTGCATATTGGAGAAGTGAATAACGGAAAAGAGAGCGTGAGGAAAACGTCAGCCGCTTCATCAGTCCAAGGCCAAGTTCAAGGGGAAGGTAACCGCCACAGGCAAGCGGCGGAAAAATTAGGATAATCATAATGGTCTGAAGATGCCAGTTGTAGTATTAACTAACCCTGGTAGCCAGATAATGTAAAGAACAACGAGTGTTCACATTATTCTGCAAGAGGTAAGGGCGTGGACCAAAGCACAGATAGAAGGACTGCAATTGTTAAAAGGCAAAGTGATAAGTATAGATATGTGCATGCACATATATATATCCAAATATACACACACATGCGCATATATATATATATATATATATATATACATATATAAACATATGTACATGATATATATACAAATATTCATATATATGCATATCTATATATACAAATATTTACATGTATGCATATCTATATACACAATATATATATATATATATATATGTATATACATTTATTTATATATATATGAGAATGTCTTCCATAGCGATATCAAAGAATGAAGGTCGATTTTTTAATTATTATTCCTCATATGAATAATTTACCTGTTGCTTGTAGATCGCCAAATTAAAAAGATTTGTAAAAAATATATATATATAATAAAACTTTCAATGAATCTTTAATAAATACTTGTTACAAAATCCTTAGAAATTAAAACCCGGTCAAACTTAACATGTCAGGTATTACGTATTTCATGAATTTAAAGATACATATTGGAGATTAAAAGCTAAAGTGTGAAAATGATATATATTTTCATGTTTCACAAAAGGGGGATTCAAATATCTTTTGGAATAAGTTATCATTTATGTCGACGTTACTACAGCAAGATGACTAGAGAACTACTTTCCATGGACGTTAAGATATTGTTGAATTTGTATGTGTGTGTGTTTGTGTATATATACATATGTATATATATACATAAGTTTTGTGTATATGTACGTGTGTCTATGCGTATGTTATATACATACATGTAGATAAATAAACATACATATGTATACATAGATCATGCATAAATATAACGAAAATATTCAAGTAATCAAAAGGAAAATATGTAAATATCTAACATGTAAAATAATATCTATTTTCATGTTTCACAAATCTTTGAAATTAGATCTCATTTCTGTAGATATCACATATAGATGTTTAGAAAACTTTCTTCACGTACTTCGCGACTTTCCATGAGCAGTATGCCTTGTTCCCAAGGCGATAAGGTTAAAATATATTGAATTCATGTTAACTTCACCCCCCACTCACTCCACCCCTTGTGGCTTGGCATCAAAAGTTTGGTGTCTAATGATCGATGGTGTAGGCACTCAACAGACAAGCACAGCTGGCGGGAAGCTTGAATGTCTCGATGGCGAAGGGGAAGTACTGGTCATAGGAATCGTAGACAAGGAAGCGGTGATAGATGGACTTCTGCAGACACTTAGACTCATAGCACTCAGGCACAAGAGGACATGCATCCCCGGAAGTGAGGCACTCTTCAATGCGTGTAGTCTGAGTGAAAGTTTGATAGTGGGCATCGATATTGTTTACAACGACACGCCATTTTCCCTCGGTGTTCTGGGCACGAAGTGGCTTGATGTAAGCGGTCTCTGATGGGCACAAGTAAGTTTCCTCATCCAGGGTGTTTGGTCGGTCCACAGACAGCTCGGTGTTAAGGTCGGCTACGTCAGCGTAGAGGGAGAGAAGCTTCTGGTAGTGATACTCAGCTGCGTGTTTGATCTCGTAGGTGGGATAATGGTCGTCTTCGAGGCACCATGATTTGGTTGTGTTGGTAGCACATTCTGGCACAGCAGGCTCGTGTTCATGCTCATAGGAAGGTTGTGGGTGGTAAGCGGGAGCAGGATGGTAGGAAGGTTGTGGATGGTATGAGGACCGTGTGTGGTAGGTTGGTTGATGGTGGTATGAAGTGCGTCCGTGGTGAGAGGAACTGTGATGGCTGACAGCAGGAGCACCGCCGAGACTGATGCTCACGTGTGAGGTCTGGTCGGCCACAACTGCAACCGCCAAAGATAGCGAAACCTGCAACAGAATATGTTAATCATAATGATAAAGCGTGTATGTATTTTATACATGCTATTTCGTGTACGAACATATCAACACACATACACCTACACATATCATATATATATATATATGCATGTATAAGTAAATGTATCTCAAAACTCTATATGAACTCACCAAATATCGTAAAGCCATGCTTGCACTCTCAGCTCTCGGTGCTTTCGAACTGTAGCGACCGTGAATGAATTGTGATAGTGGGCGTCCTTTATATAGGTACAGTATCCCTCCTCCCCGCCCCCAAAACCCCCCAACTGCATCATCGAACCGTGAAAGTAATTTAATTTCGATACATTGATAATTTAAACGTTCACTTGTATTCGTGCTTTATTTTAAACTACGTCTATTATCTATCGTAACAAAGCACATAGGGAAAATGAATGTTCAAGCAAAACAAATATAAAAGATAGCATTTCAGGAAGCGGATAATTACAGTGTAAGATATCCTTGGGCCAGCCAAGACGTGTTTCCTCTCTCTGTTTGGTGTGTTTGATTACCAACAACTGCAACGTTATTGCAGGACACAATTTTCAACACATACATACATACTTACATATACGTTTGTGTGTATATATACGTGTCCAGAAATAAATACATAGGACAGAGAAAGGAAACACGTTTGCATACATATTTAGATATATATGTATATATATACAGATATGTATATGTTCAGTACAAATACATATATACTTACATAACTATATGTGTGTGTATAAGGATATATATAATATAATAATATATGTAATACATTACACACATGTATATTTATGGACTTCTAGTACATTGATATGTGTGTTTGCGGGTATATATATATACATATAAATATACATATCTATGTATACGTAATCACACACATATAGACATATATATATGCATGCACATATACACATATATATGTAAATATACTGTATATACAAATATATATATATTTGTATATAAATACAAATATATATATATATATATTTGCATATACATACTGTATATACAAATACATATTTACACATACAGATAGATATGTCTATATATACATAAATATAAATAAATAAATATACATACGCACATTATATATATATATATATATATATATATATATATATATATATATATATATATATACATATATATATATATATATATATATTTATACATATGTGTATATATATATATATATATATATATATATATATATATATATTAGGGTAGATGTGCATGTGTAAATGATTGTATTAATGAATAAAAAAATAAATAAAAGAAAATATGTATAATCTATACATTCATTGTTTTGTATCCCAGTGACTCTGTACTCTGTACAGTCATATTCACCTCCGGAATGTGAAAATTGTTACAGACTGCTTGGGAAATATGAATTGCTTTTGTTATTCTACCGCTTTGTGTGGACTATTGGCGCACTTCATCTAAATTGGTTGTGGGCCTTATTTCGACGACTTTTCATTGTTACTATTATGTTCCTTATAACGAGAATAAGCATTAACCTTTTCACTGACATACATAATATTGTTAGAAAACTAATGATTTTTTCTCCAAATTTTGCAAATGCAAAACGTTACAGTTCTATGGTTATTATTTATATTTGTATTGTTAATGTCATCATCATTATCAATATGATTATCAATATCATTTTTTCAATCTTGTGTTAACTTTCGTTAACACAAGATTATAATTGCAATTAAAATTTGCCAAGGAATAATAAACGTATTCACTGACATACATAATATTGTTATAACACTAATAATTTCTTCTCCAAATTTCGTAAACGCAAAATATTACGGTTCTATAGTTATTTTTATATTAGTGTTGTTAATATCATTATCATTATTAATATCAATATCAATATAATTTTTTTCAATCTTGTGTTAACTTTCGTTAACATCACCGACATTATGAACTTTTTTTTTACAATTATTACTGTAAACCATATTGTATTAATAAAAGCTTTAGTTTTATTAATAGTACTCTATTATTGATTATTATATTTCAGTTTTTAATGTTTATTCTTACTATAATAGTAACTATCTTCATTTCCAATCCTTTTGATATCCTTATTATTAGTGAGTGGTACTGTTATGATAATCATTATAATTATTATAATTGCAATTAGTATATGCCAAGGAATAAGAAATATACATATGTTAGATAACGATTTGTTTATAAACAAATATTATAATATATCTCGCTTCTATTTTTTGCATGACTGAAAAGGGGTGAGACAGATTAACGGCGGGAGCGTGCCGTTGGTTCCTGACATGACTAGTAGTGGTACATGAAGAAAGCAGTTTTCTAGTCACGTCGAGTGTCCTCCGCTTTAAATGATAACAAGGGTTGTCGGTGTTTTTTTTTAGTGGACATGAAGTGTTGTGGTATGTTAGGCGGGAAGGTGGCAGGAGCAGGCAGATGGCATCTTGTAGATGTCGATGAACAGGCCCTTGTAGGGGTCACATGGATCGTAGGAGAGGAGTCGGTGGTACACTGACTTCTGGGTGCAGTGGCTCTGGTAACAAGGAGCAAGAGCGCGGCAAGCAGCCTCTGGGAACAGACAAGTTTCCAAGCGGGCAGTCTGGCTGTAATAGTGAACGTCGTTCACAATGACGCGCCACTTGCCTTCCACATTCTGGGCACGTTTGGGCATGGCATATACCACTTCAGAGGGACAGATGTAACCCTCAGGACCAGCCCAGTGTGTGGCGTCGTAGGGAGAGTCCCCAGTGGAGGCCCCAGTGTAGTAAGAGTAGTCGAAGGCCTCCTCCTGGTCCTTGGTAATCATGTCTACCAAGTCATCCGCAGACTGGTCGGCGACATCAGCGTACTTCTTGGCAAACAGGTGATCGGCAGTGATGGCAGACTTGATCTCATACTCGGGATACTCAGCATCTTCCAAGCAGTAGGAGAGAGTGGAGTTGTCAGCGCATGCGGGGGCAACAGTTGGGTCGCAGTAACCGTGCTTATACGCATGCTGGTGACCATAAGCAGGCGCATGATGACTGTAAGCTGACGCGTGATGACCGTAAGTGGGCTGTGGGTGATGTCCGTATGCTGGAGGATGGACGGAGCCCAGAACGACTCCGGCGCATGCCAGTACGACTGACTGAAAAAAAAAAAAAAAAAAAAAAAAAAAGAGATTAACATTCAAGCAAAAATTAACATTAAAGTAAAAAAAAAAAAAAGCTTTTCGCAAGCACCAATTTCTTCAATAAGAACAGTGCAGCCAGATTAAACAGGCAGTCATTTCAAGTTACCAATGTAAGAGCCATGGTGAAATGAGGAGATAGACGCGGGAATCGTTTCTACTGTTACCCATTCGTTATTATCGAGCTTATATACTCCAAGTATGCTTTGGCCACACCCACGCAGGACGAAGATGCGTGACTCCCAAGGTTAGAAAAACGTGAAAGTCTATCTTTTCCTGACTCTGTTGCTATTACTTCTACATTAGCACATTAGCTACCTTTCTTACCCTCCTCTGTCCTGGGAGAGAAGTAGCTAACATATACACACAATCACATTCACAAAGACAGAAATATATATTTACATATATACGTATATATACATATGTATGTGGATATGTATGGATACATATATGTATATTTACACACTACATGTACATATATATGTATAAAAAGCATGATATATGTACAGGGAGGGGTAAGAGTGTGTAGCCTAAGTGAAAAAAAAATAGATGTATTTATTCTAGTGGCAGTTAGTCTTATATAAGTGTACTTCATTCAATACATTTTATTTAAAATTGTAATCTTTGGGGGTGGGGGTGCAAGTTAGACCTCCAGTCACCCCCTAATTGAAGTCTCTATGTATATATATTTATATAGGAATATGTCACCATGTATTTATATATTCCTATATATATATGTTTAATTTGTATATATATATATATATATATATATATATATATATTTAATATTTATATGTTTATGTATATATATGTATCTATATATACATATATATATAAATGTATACACAATAATACACACAAAAACATGTATATATACATATGATGCAAATATATCTATATGCTATATATATTTAAATATGCATATATGTATATATCTGTGTGTGTGAACACATGTAAACAGTATATATAGATATATACACCCCATTTGTATACTATTTGTTTATCTATCTATCGAAGATATATCCATATACATATTCACACAATGATATGGATATTCATTGATGCATACTGTCTATCATCTTATGGATATATGAATGTATGTAAATAAGTAACTATATATTTAAATATCTATATTTGTACAGTATATATATATATTCATATAAATATATGCTATTATATATCTATATTTATACATCAAACCCACACATACATACAGTATATGTGAGACAAACACCGACACACATATATATATACACAGGACACATGCACATACATATCCATAAAGACACGCGGACAAACACACACGGATATATATATATATATATATATATATATATATATATATGATTGGAGCATGCAGCGAGCGTGAATGATAAAGAAATCAGTTTTGGGTCTGGCTGCCTGGGAGCCAGACCCAATTTCACTGTAATTTCTTTAGTGACTAAGAAATTCGGTATATACAAATGAAAAAAATATGTAGATACATACAAATGTATATATATATATTCATGCACACACAAACGCAAATGCATATGTATATATACATATACATACGTTCATATATATACATATAGATATCTATGCACACAATATGTATAAATAAATGCATATCTATGTACACAATATATATATGTATGTGTATATCAATGCATATATATGTAGAAATACATTGTCCAAGTGTTCATTTTCATAAACAAATGTTCAGGGAAACAAGAAAGGAGATAAAAATGGGAACACCTAACAACCATCCGTTGCCATGGAAACGCAAGTGACATATGGCAACTCTTCAATATTTCTGCGCATGCGCGTGACAGTCAGGTCAGTGTGCACGAGTCACCTGCATTCCTCCTCACTCACGACTCACGAACAAAAAACACAGCAACAAGAGCAGCGGTCCCGAATATTGGGAAAATACTGCTGACAGGCGACCTGCAGCCGCATCGCTGCCGTTGCATATCTCCTTAGCCTCTGCTTAGCCTTTACTACATGGACAATGCTTAGATAAAAAGTATATACATGAGCAATATGAACTTTAATCATAGAAAGCAAGCAACCGGTAAGAGAAGACGTGAGTGAATGAAATAAGATTAAAAAAAAAAAAATACTTATGTTTTTCATACTAATGAAAATAACTATTTCCTTTGATAAATAAACTATAAATATTACTCTCTCTCTTTCTAAGAACCTTTAACACAAACTATATCCTAAACAATTAGCATGGGAATCTTAACTAACAATGGAAAAACGAACATTGATATATAAATAAACAATTATACAAGTTAATCATTGAAGTAAAACTAAATTAAATGTGAATATATTTATATATTTATATGAATATAAAAAATGCCAGATCGTGCCAATAATGAAACCGGCAATACAATTTATGTGTTAAATCTAGGAAAATCTTGATAGATGTATTAAACTTGAACATAAATCTTGATGATAAAGAACAGACTATGAAAAGTATTTGGCATACATATATATATGAAAATGTCTTCCATCGCGATCTTACGACTAATGAAAATGAATATCGAGTTTTTTCGTTGTTGTTTATTTATTATTTAGTTATTTCCTTGTTTGATATACTTACAATTTATTGTTGCTATATCTTTCCTTATAGAATCATTAAGAACGCCACGACGAGACTGATAATTGTTAGTATTAACTTATTTAATGAATCAGATTTTGTCGCTATTGTTTTTTTTCTAAATTTCCTAAACGGTTCTAGCGCTATTATCTATATTAGAATTGTTCTTATCATTATAATTATTATCATCATTATATATATATATTTTTTCTTAGCCATCACCACTGTCGTCATTATGTTACTGTATTAGTTATTGTAAACAAATATTATCATTAACATTGACTATATAGATATTCTTATAACTGTCAATGCAAATAGTGAGGAAAAATACAGATAGCCGTGTGTGTGTGTGGTGTCCATGCATGTGTTCCGGACTTTGGTAGTGTGTTATGGTCGGGGAGACGTGTGCGAGTCTCACTCACAAAGCAGGCTCAACGAAAACCTCCGTTGAAAGATATGTCTTGATAGAGTCATGATAAAAAAATAATAATAAAATTCGCAAAATAAACAAAGTTCGTGTGTGGGCAACTCTGTGCGTACTGTGCGACCTTGAGATTGCCTGCGGCGGTGTAACGTTTTTTATTCATTCATTCATTTTCTTCACCCTCATTTACAAGTCTCTTTTCCCTTTTAGTTTAATTTTTTTTTTTCACATTCCCCGATCGTTCAACTATTTTCATCCGTATCGTACGCTTCTTATTACCTTTATACATGTTTGTAAGCAATACTATTATTGGTGATTGAAACAAAACCAGTATCTCATAACACAAATACACTTTTATTGACGTAAAAACGCTTGAACTAAAAGAAACAGAATGAACTGACTTTCTGGGGATCATAAAATACACATAAAAAGATAACCAGATGAGAAAATCGCAATTAAACATCTCGTTTTACATGATGAAAATAGGAGGCTCCACTTTAAAAAGTGACGCACTCGGGACACAGTTTACTGGAATTATATTCTAATAGCCAGTTCCCCTTCACCGCAGACACAACACTGCCACGACCCCACAATAAATGCAACTTAATTTCTAAGGGCTAAAGTCAGAGTGATAGAGTCGACGAACATTTAGCAAAGTCCAGGTAGGACAGCGCTAATTCAATGACCTTCCTCGTCTCTCTCTCTCTCTGACCCGTATAAACATACAAAAATATAGCAGTAATACAATTTCAGGTTAAAAGGAAAATTTGTAAAAATCTAAAGTGTAAATTATTTAGTTTCATGCATCACAACAGGGAGGGATTCAGATGCAATTTCCAATCACTTATTTCTGTAGATATTTGAAAAAAGAGGGTTAGAAAATTATTGTTTTCTTAACAAACGTGATGGCTTTCCATGAACAGCATGCCTTGCTCATATGAGCCAAGAATGTTAAACAATGAATTCAAGTGCATTTCCCCAACTAATGTGACTTGAGAGAAGGTATTTGGTGACTAATGATCGATGATGTAGACAGCCAAAAGACAAGCACAGCTGACGGGAAGTTTGAATGTCTCGATGGCGAAGGGGAAGTACTGATCATAGGGGTCGTAAACAAGGAAGCGGTGGCAGATGGACTTCTGCAGACACTTGGACTCGTAGCACTCAGGCACCAGAGGACATGCATCGGCGGAAGTAAGACACTCTTCGATGCGTGTAGTCTGAGTGAAAGTCTGATAATGGGCTTCGATATTGTTTACAACGACACGCCATTTTCCCCTTCTGTTTATAGAAGTATACTATCTATCAGTCTACAGATCGATAAATGTATGTATGTAAATATGTAAGTATGTATTTACATATGTACAAATTATATATGCATATATATATATATATGTATATATTCATATGCACATATACTACTACATATATACATCCACACACATGTACACGATATGAAAATACCGAAACACACATATAAACACAACACATACACATATATACACATCCATGCACATACATACAGACACATGCACAAAAACACACATATCTATATATAGTTTGATCGAGTACGCATGGACAGGTCTCATTTTAAGCGGCGGAAGGTGTGTATACTCTGAAATTCGATAATTTATCTATGAGAAATGACTGGAGCGTGAATGACAAAGCGATCAGTTTTGGCTCATGGTCGTTTCTGCTTACCACATGCACCCAATCCCTTCTATCAGCACCGTTCTGCAACTCGTCAAAGTGACCGATAAATTAAGGATAAACACAGATCGCGATAACTTGTAGGAGCTACTGAGTGCCATAAAGTGGGTCTGCATATTGGAGATATAAGTAAACGGACCAGAGAGTGTGAGGAAAACGTCAGCCGCCTCATCAGTCCAAGGCCAAGTTCGTGGGGAAGGTAACCGCCATAGGCAAGCGGCGGAAAAAAATAGGATAATCATAATGGTTTGAAGATGGCAGTTGTAGTGTTAACTAACACTGGTAGCCAGATAATGTAAAGAACAAAGCCGCAAACCCTATGAATCAGCGAGTGTTCAAATTATTCTGCAAGAGGTGAGGGCGTGGACTAAAGTGAACAAGAAGCTGAGTGATAGAAGGACTGCAATTGTTAAAAGGCAAAGTGACAGGTATAGATATGTGCATGGAGATATATATATATTGCAAATATACACACACGCGCGCGAATATATATATATATATACATATACGCACATGTGTGTGTATATATATACATACGCTCATAATATATATACAAATATTCATATATATGGATATCTATATATACAAATATTTACATATATGCATATCTATATACACAATATATATATATATATATATATATATATATATATATATATATGAGAATGTCTTCCATAGCGATGTGACAGAATTATCATTTTTTTATCATTATTCATCATATGAATAATTTACTTGTTTGTAGATCGCCAAATTAAAAGGAATTGTAAACAAATATAATAAAATTTTCAATGCATCGTAGATAAACACTTGTTACAAAATCCTTAGAAATTAAAACCCTGCCAAACTAAACATGCCAGGTATTATGTATCTCATGAATTCAAAGATATGCATATTGGAGATTAAAAGCTAAAGTGTGAAAATGATATATATTTCCATGTTTTACAAAAGGGGGATTCAAATATCTTTTGCAATAATTTATCATTTATGTCGACGTGACCACAACAAGATGACTAGAGAACTACTTTCTTCACGTATTCGATGACTTTCCATGGACGTTAAAATATTGTTGACTTTGTATGTGTGTTTGTGAGTACATGTGTATATATATACATAAGTTTTTGTGTATATGTACCTGTGTCTATCCTTATGTTATATACATATATGTAGATAAATAAACATATACATATGTATACATAGATCGTGCATAAGCATAACGAAAATCAAGTAATCGAATGGAAAGTAAATATCTAAAATGCGTAAAATATTATTTATTTTCATGTTTCACAAATGATCTTTGAAATCAGTTCTCATTTCTTTAGATATCACATATAGATGTCTAGAAAACTTTCTTCACGTTTGAGTTTGACGACTAATGATCGATGGTGTAGCCACCCAACAGACAAGCACAGCTGGCGGGAAGCTTGAATGTCTCGATGGCGAAGGGGAAGTACTGATCATAGGAATCGTAGACAAGGAAGCGATGATAGATGGACTTCTGCAGACACTTGGACTCGTAGCACTCAGGCACAAGAGGACATGCATCCCCGGAAGTGAGACACTCTTCAATGCGTGTAGTCTGAGTGAAAGTTTGATAATGGGCATCGATATTGTTTACAACGACACGCCATTTTCCCTCGGTGTTCTGGGCACGAAGGGGCCTGACGTAAGCGGTCTCTGATGGGCACAGGTAAGTTTCCTCATCCAGGGTGTTTGGTCGGTCCACAGACAGCTCAGTGTTGAGGTCGGCTACGTCAGCGTAGAGGGAGAGGAGCTTCTCGTAGTGATACTCAGCTGCGTGTTTGATCTCGTAGATGGGATACTGATCGTCGTCGAGACACCACGATTTGGTTGTGTTGGCAGCACATTCTGGCACAGCAGGCTCATGTTCATGCTCATAGGAAGGTTGTGGGTGATAAGCGGGAGCATGATGGTAGGAAGGTTGTGGATGGTATGAGGACCGTGTGTGGTAGGTTGGTTGATGGTGGTATGTAGTGCGTCCGTGGTGAGAGGAACTGTGATGGCTGACAGCAGGAGCACCGCCGAGACTGATGCTGACGTGTGAGGTCTGATCGGCCACAACTGCGACCGCCAAAGATAGCGAAACCTGCAACAGAATATGGTAAGCATAGTGATGAAGCGTGTATGTCTTTTATACATGGTATTACGTGTACACACGTATCAACACACATACACCTACACTCATATGTGCTCACATATATATATGCATGTATAAGTAAATGTATCTCAGAACTCTATATGAACTCACCAAGTATCGTAAAGCCATGCTTGCACTCTCAGCTCTCGGTGCCTTCGAACTGTAGCGACCGTGATAGTGGGCGTCCTTTATATAGGTACATCATCCCTCTTCCCCGCCCCCAACTTCCCCAACTGCATCATCGAACCGTGAAAGTAATTAAATTTTGATACATTTATGATTTCAACGTTCCCTTGCATTCGTGCTTTATTTTAAACGTGTTTTATCTATCGTAACAAAGCACATAGGGAAAATGAATGTTTAAGCAGAACAGATAAAAAAGATAGCATTTCAGGAAGCAGATAATTACAGTGAAAGGTATCCTTGGGCCAGCCAAGACGTGGTTCCTTTCTCTGTCTTGTGTGTTTGATTACCAACTTCGTTATTGCACGACATAATTTTCAACACACATACATACTTACATATACGTTTGTGTGTATATATATACGTGTCCAGAAATAACTATGCTGGTAAATACATAGGACAGAGAAAGGAAACACGTTTGCATACATATTTATGTATATATATAGAGATATGTATATGTTCAGCACAAACACATATATACTTACATATATATGTGTGTGTATAAAGATATATATAATATAATAATATATGTAATACATTACACACATGAATATTTATGGACATTTAGTACATTGATATGTTTGTTTGCGGGTATATATATATATATATATACATATCTATGTATACGTAATCACACACATATAGACATATATATACATGCACATATATACATATATGTGTAAATATACTGTATATACAAATATATATATGTACAAATATATATGTATATTTGTATACACATACTGTATATACAAATATATATTTACATACAGATAAACATGTATATATGTATAAATATAAACAAATAGATATACATACGCACACACATATATATATATACATATATATATATATTAGGGTGGATGTGCATGTGTAAATAATTATATTAATTTTTGAAAAAGAAAATATATATAATCTACATATTCATTGTTTTGTATCCCAGTGACTCTGTTGTCATTAACAGTCATATTCACCTCCGGAATGTGAAAATTGTTACAGACTGCTTGGGAAATATGATTTTTTTTATTTTTTGTTACTCTATCGCTTTGTGTGAACTATTGGTGTACTTGATCTAAAATGGTTGTCAGCCTTATTTCGACGAATTTTTGTATTTTCTTAGTTATTTCCTTATCTAATATTAAATTCACCATTCATTGTTACTATTATGTTCCTTATAACGAGAATAAGCATTAACGTATTCACTGACATACATAATATTGTTAGAAAACTAATTATTTTTTCTCTAAATTTCGCAAACGCAAAACGTTACAGTTCTATAGTTATTATTTACATTAGTATTGTTAATATCATCCTTATTAATATGATTATCAATATTATTTTTTTCAATTTTGTGTTAACACTGTTAACATCACCGTCATTGTGTTTTTTTTTTATTATTATTATTTTAAGCCATATATTCTTGATAGAAACTTTAATTTTATTAATAGTATTCTTGTTGCTTATTGTATTTCAATTTCTAATGTTTATTCGTACTATTATAGTAACTATATTATATTTTTTCATATCCTCATTATTAGTGGTAGTGGTACTGTTATGATAATCATTATGATTATTATAATTGCAATTAGTATATGCCAAGGAATAAGAAATATACATATGTTAGATAATAATTTGTTTATAAACAAATATTATAGTATTATGTCTCGCTTCTATTTTTTGCATGACTGAAGAGGGGAGAGACAGATTAACGGCGGAAGCGTGCCGTTGGTTCCTGACATGACTAGTAGTGGTACATGAAGAAAGCAGTTCTCTAGTCACGTGGAGTGTTCTCCGCTTTAAATGATAACAAGAGTTGTCGGTGTTTTTATAGTGGATATGAAGTGTTGTGGTATGTTAGGCGGGAAGGTGGCAGGAGCAGGCAGATGGCATCTTGTAGATGTCGATGAACAGGCCCTTGTAGGGGTCACATGGATCGTAGGAAAGGAGTCGGTGGTACACTGACTTCTGGGTGCAGTGGCTCTGGTAACAAGGGGCAAGAGCGCGGCAAGCAGCCTCTGGGAACAGACAAGTTTCCAAGCGGGCAGTCTGGCTGTAATAGTGAACGTCGTTCACAATGACGCGCCACTTGCCTTCCACATTCTGGGCACGTTTGGGCATGGCATATACCACTTCGGAGGGACAGATGTAACCCTCAGGACCAGCCCAGTGTGTGGCATCGTAGGGAGAGTCCCCAGTGGAGGCCCCAGTGTAGTAAGAGTAGTCGAAGGCCTCCTCCTGGTCCTTGGTAATCATGTCTACCAGGTCATCAGCAGACTGGTCGGCGACATCAGCGTACTTCTTGGCAAACAGGTGATCGGCAGTGATAACAGACTTGATCTCATACTCGGGATACTCAGCGTCTTCCAAGCAGTAGGAGAGAGTAGAGTTGTCAGCGCATGCGGGGGCAACAGTTGGGTCGCAGTAACCGTGCTTATAGGCATGCTGGTGACCATAAGCAGGCGCATGATGACCGTAAGCTGACGCGTGATGACCGTAAGTGGGCTGTGGGTGATGTCCGTATGCTGGAGGATGGACAGAGCCCAGAACGACTCCGGCGCATGCCAGAACGACTGACTGAAAAACAGAGATTAACATTAAAGTAAAAAAAGCTTTTCGCAAAGACCCAATTTCTTCAATGAGAACAGTACAGCCAGATTAAACTGGCAGTCATTTCAAGTTACCAATGTAAGAGCCATTTGTGAAATTAGGAGATAGACACGGGAATCGTTTCTACTGTTACCCATTCGTTATTATCGAGCTTATATACTCCAAGTATGCTTTGGCCACACCCACGCAGGACGAACATGCGTGACTCCCAAGGTTAGAAAAACGTGAAAGTGTATCGTTTCCTGACTCTGTTACCCTTACATCCACATTAGCACAGATACGCGAACTAATTTCTACCTTTCTTACCCTCCTCTGTCCTGGGAGAGAAGTAGCTAAGATATACACACAATCACATTCATAAAGGCACAGAAATAAATATTTACATATATACATATGTATGTGGATGTTTGTATGGATACATATATGTATATTTACACACTACATGTACATATATATGTATAAAAAGCATGATTTATATACAGGGAGGGGCAAGAGTGCGTAGGCAAGCTAAGTGAATAAAAGATTAGATGTGTTTATTCTAGTGGCAGTTAGTCATATATAAATGTACTTCATTTAATACATTTTATTTAAAATTGTAGTCTTTGGGGGGTGGGGGTATCACCATATCATCATGTATTTATATATTCCTAAATATATATGCTTAATTTGTATATATATATATTTATATATATATATGTTTAATATTTATGTTTATGTATATATATGTATCTATACATATATATAAATAAATGTATGCACAATAATACACACAAAAACATATATATACATATGCAATTATATCTTTATGCTATATATATTTATATATGCATATATGTATATATCTGTGTGAATACATGTAAACAGTATATATAGATATATACACCCCATTTCTATACTATTTGTTTAGCTATCTATCGATAATATATCCATATACATATTCACACAATGATATGGATATTCATTGATGCATACTGTCTATCATCTTATGGATATATGAATGTATGTAAATAAGTAACTATATATTTATATATATGTACAATATAT